ATGTAATTTCTTTTTTTTTTTTGCATTAGGATGATCATCGTATATCAAGTCCATCTCATCGACTTAGCAAAGAACAAACAATATCACCAATATTAACATCATCGTTTCCATTCGATGCCGATTGTTCACCGATAAAAAAAGATTAAACATTTAATGTTAAATTTCTTTCTTTCTTTCTTTCTCTTATATGAATTTTCTTTATTTTTCTCTATAATGATAAATAATTTGTCAGATAAATTATGTTTGTTATTGAAAATACATATAAAATGTGCATGAATAAAAAATAATAATAATAAAATAAATAGATATTGTTTAATTTATTCACTTCTTTTTCTGTATAAACAATGGAATATTTCATCAAATGATGATATTCAAACATTAATGATTTTATCAACGAAAAACACAACTATGAGCGAATGCTGTCAATTCATTTGTCGATGACAAAAACCATATATATTGCATGGTTCAACTGATGCATACGTTTCTCTCGTATATCCTTCAATGATTATAAAAAGATGAATGTGGTTGTTTTATTAATTCGTCATTGATTCCATCTTTTCTCTTACTCATCACATAGATGTGAGAGAATCAATTTTTCCTAGTACGTTTGTTTGCATACCTCGACTCTCATGTATAATTCATCTGTATTCATTTAATGAGGAAACATTCCAAAGTGATCTGCTCCGCTTGTCTCTATATTGTGCCAATATGTAGGAGATTACTAGAGTAGCGTAATCTCTAAAGATTTTCTGCTCTTGCTTAGATTTAATCGTGATAGCAACGTTTTAGTAGATTCCTCCTGCAAAAGATCAGTTTTGGAGAAAAAAAATTATATTTCGAAATTTCGACTTAAAATTATATATACATGAAGATCTCGATTAGACTCTCTCATGTACAAAGATTCATCAGTTTTGGATATCGGATTCTTAACGTATACATCTCTCAATATATTTACGCTTTTCTTTAAGTGCTGTGTAAGATAGCTACATATTCAAGAATCCATATCTTGATAATAGGATATCCGAAATTGACGAAACTTTGTATATAAGATAGTCTAATCAAGATCTTCATGTATACAAAATTTCACATCGAAATTCAGATTTTTTTTTTTTTCGAAAATTAGTCTTCTGCAAGATGAATCTTCTACTAGGTAGCTATCTCGATCAAATGTAAACAAGAGCAGAAAACCTTTAGAGGTTATGCTACTGTAGTGATCTCCTATATATTAGCAAAATATGGGAGCAAACAGAGTGGATCACGTGGGAATGTTCCCTTGTAATTGTATCATAATTGATAGAGATCTGTGAAGGAAGGTGATTCCAATGGAAGTAAAATGTCTTAAATATGAACTAAAGAACTTTTGGTCAGATGAGCAACAAGGAAATGAACTATAGAGGTCTCTTACTACTCATGTCGATGCATGTGATAATCTCGGGAGATCATTTATAAATCTTGTTTTATGATCTCACGAATGTGTTGTTCAACTCCATTGAAAACAACACATTGCAAAACATAAACTTTCATTCTCATATTAATCTAGATTACGCACATAGTCATTGAAAATCTAGTTGCACTTAAAGTCGAAAGGAATAGTTGAAAGTAGACGCCAATTTGTGTCTATTGTAGACGATTAATGTGCCTCTACCATGTCAATTAGCCATGTTATTCCAATTGCAAGAATATTCGCATTTAAGATGTTATTCTTCGGTGAATACTCTTCCATTTCTTCTAGTAAGTGCGTATTTTTCATACACTATCTGTTATATTCCAGACTATCCATATACTCTATGCAGTGAATTCTCATTAAAAATGCTGAATTTGACGCTTGTTATCTACCGACAGCGTGAGTTTGAAACAAGATATTGCTGATGAGTAGACGCATGATACTTTAACATTTCTCGAGAGATCTTTCTCGAAGCTATATTTTTAAGTTCTTTACTGTGACACCGAGTGGCTTTGCTAAAATGAAAATAAATTTCATCATTCCATTGGACATAATCGAGAAAGCCGTTCATGCGATCATTTTCATTAATATGAATGTACAAGATCAAAAACCATTCGAATAGTTTTGAAGAAGCGGTATGGAAATTGCTATAATACTAGGAATAATTCACATTTTCTGCATGTAGAAACTGAAGAATTCTAATACTGTAGCAATATAAATTTCTGGCAGTGTATCTGAACAAAATTAAATGATATCATGGGATAGCTGTGAACTGAACAATTTGGTTCGTGGTTCTTATCTGCTGTGAAGGAAAATGTGTTACTTTCTAATTTTCTTAGTCATCGTTCGCACTATCATATAGATAAAATAACTTAATGGGTTTAGAGAGTTTATTAAGCGTATTATAAAAGAAATAATTGTAGTGTAAAATATTACTTCTATTGATCTTTGACAAAGTTATGAAGGGTTTAGCGAAACAACAAAAGCCTTTTAAATGTACTTTTGATATGTCAGACCTTGAATGATTCTTGAACGATCGACGAGAATTTCATTCTATCGACTGTCGATAAGAATTTTCGATAGGAAAGCATGACTCGTATATTTCCATCGCTTGATTCTAGTAATTTAGTTCCATTTCTGGTTAATTGAGTTCCATGTAACTAACTTCAGTATTGAACATACTATCGCCGATATCGAGATGATCAGCTTAGAGTGCTTTATCTCTAATCGTTACATCTAGAGATGTACCAATTCCAATTCTGACCAATTTCAATTCCAATTCTTGGCTTGGAATTGATGGAATTGGAATTGATTGGAATTGGTTAGAATTGGTCTAGAGTCAGCATGATATTATCTGGAATTGGCTATAATTAGGCTGAAATTGCGTAGAATTGACCAGAATTCGGTTGTTACCTAGAATTCTTATAGAATCCTAGAAATTGGTCTTAAACTGGCTCGAATCGCCTACAATTTCTAGAACTCCAGAAGAATTGTAGCCAGCTTAAGCAAATCCGAGCCAGTTTCAGACCGATTCCATACCGATGTCTAGGATTCCATACGAATTTAGGCAATACGGTCTAATTCGAACCAGTTTCAGACCAAGTCCATAACAATTCTTAGGACTCTATATGAATTATAGCCAGTTCAAACCAAGTCTAACCAGTTTCAGGTTAACGCCATATCAATTCCTAAGTTTTCATACGAATTTTAGGTCACTTGAGCCATATTTCTACCAATTCCAACCAATCTAAGAATTGGAATTGATTGAAATTGGAATTGGTGCATCCCTATAAGTTACATCTTTCATTTTATATAACAGATCGAATTTATTAACATTCTTCTTCCCATAAACAACGTCAACACTATTGAGTGTTGTAGCTATGAAAGGATGATCTGATAGGAAACATTTCTCTTTCATACAAACGGATTTTTCAAGATATTCTAGAGCATGATCATACTCACCCTTTTTAACATACAAAAAGTAAGTGTTCATTGATAATAATCAAGAGTTTCATCGCATTTTCCTTGCTTATATAGAACGTCAACGATATTGAACATTTTCCTGATCAATTATTTGGATTATTTCCCATAAATAATATTTACTGTTCAGGCTTCATTCAAGTTTTTCATTATTCGAAAATTCATTCAATTCAATTTGAAACTTGTTTTTTTTCTATCAATTTCTCTGAGATCTTCTTTGTTCGATATAGTTTCCTCCGATTTCGCGTGCTTTAATCGGATTTACACAGAAAAACTGAATGCAATTCTGAACAAAAATCATTTTCACACATGACAAACAATCGACTTTGAATATTCAACTTCATTGTTTTCACTTATTCTAGGATCTACCCAGCGAACTATTCACAGAGAATATGGATTTAGTTGAAATGCATTTTTTGTTCTCTTCAATTTCTATTTCAATAATCATGAAGATTTCTTGCAAAAACTAAGTTAGAACAATACAAACAATAAGTGTGGTGAATATCATCAGAGACTTCTCTGGTTTGTACGTTTGTGAAAAAAGATAAATTCTTTTTCTGTTGAAAGAAAATGGTCATTTATCTAAAGTAAACTATCAAAATGAAATATAATGGATTAAACTCTTTTTAAAGCCAGAGTTGCTCTCACTCTTCAGTAGAAAATAACGACTACAACTGAGTTGTTTTCACAATTATAGGTCCGAAAAAAGACTCCTTCAGGTGATTCCGTAATAAATATAATTGATTCGAAAAGTGAAAACTTTCAAAACATAGAATGTTGCTTCTCTCGATAACGCGATGGCTGAATCTCGTTCTGCTTGTGCAGAGTTTGAACGTGTTCTTTCATTGATTCCACTAATTCATTTATATGTTCTTCAAATAATGTTTCAAACAGGACTGCTCACTCAGAGGTATAATACGTTGAAAATGGCGCCAGACATGGCACTAGTTTCGATGAGTTGTACCTCAGAGCTGTCAGTGTTGTTTTCAAGTGAAATTAGATCTATCACAATTATATATGGAAACAGTTCGTTTTAAGAATACATTGACTAGTGGAATTCTTTTATAAGAGTGAAACGAGAATCAAACTTCACCCACATATATGTGTTTGTTATTATCAAGAATCATTTCAAATATTCTCATTACCGTGTGTATTCAAAAGAATCAACTGTGCAAGAAAACAGCCAATTTAACCAGCAATGCCTTTCGTAGAAAAATATCTGCAGAACTACGGTTCACTATTTTCATACAAAAAGCTTTTCCAATCAAAAGAGCCATATTATAGATGCTCAGATTTAGTTTTTCATCTTGCTAACAAATTCAATATTATTCTGAGGCGATTTTTACAAATCATTTCGCGAACATTCAATTCAATAGTAATCGCAACTAATAGCTCATGAGTTTGGCTATTAATCATAAAAATTCTAACACAAGAAAACATCTCGACAATCTATGAATGTTACAAAATTTATTTCCAAGAAATCTTTGATTAATGCGAATGAATAAGAATGATGATGAGACAAAGAAATTAAAAAGTCAATATGTATTATAGCAAGTTCTTCATAACGAATCGGCGTTCACTGTGACTTTTTTTCGAGCCACTTCCATTTAATTCTTGCACGACCAATACTAAGATCCCCAATTGCGGCTCTGACACCTGGTTCTGATAAAGCAAGATCACCATATCTACATCCACGGCATTTATCAAGAATTTTTACTCTAACAGATCCTTTGGGACCAATTATCTTGGCCAGCTTGTTACATAAGCTGTTCAAATTTGGATTGCCATTAGGTGTAAATGGATCAAATTGTGATGCATTCAATGCAGCAATATATTCGCTATCAATATGCATTGTTGCACATGCTGTATAGCCTCCACTAATGCTATAAAGTGTAGTATTTCCTTGAAAAGTGCCAGCTAAATGAGAAACAAACATTTCAAAAACAATATTGAACAATTAGAAAAACGATTCGTGATTTTCAAGACTTACTTCTGTTTGAAACAACCACACTCTATACTTTGTGATTTAGAAGAAAATGATCACTTTATTCTCTCTTCCTTTAATCAATGGAGAGAAAGTTTTAGTCAAATATTTCAAGAAAAATCAGCGTTTTTAATAAAGAGCATGCTTTCATTTCAATTTCCAAGAAGAATTAGCTACTTTCTCCTCCAAAGAGAAAGTTTATTTTTTTCACTTGTACATGTTTCCTCCTTGAGTTAAACGAGACTTTCTTCTTGAATTTTTCTCTCTCCTCAATAAAACGAAACGAAAGCTATGATGGCATACACGAGGAAAAGACTAATTAGCGGTTTTCTAATGAATGGTACATAGGAATCGAACTATCGAGATTTGGAATCAATGGATCTTAACGACTTCTATCTAAAAATAGAATTTGTTTTTGCTGGAATCAGCTTGTGGACAAATAGAGGTAAGTTTTAGTAATGTGGCTAACAAACAAAGGAATAATGAGCGATTCTATCGTTGGTTATTCAATCGAGGATTTATCGAAATCGAGCTAATGATGTCTGGAATCGAGAGAGCTCGTCGAGTTCTATTTATAACTATAGTTAGTTTTGTTGAAATTTCTGTCTGAGGTTGGAGAGGAGAAAGGTTTTTTCGAAGAGCAACCTATGGAATCGAGAGATCTCATCGAGTTCTCTTTGAAACCAGTAAAAACTGAGCTGAAATCTTCTTTATATTAAATTGAAGTAGGAAATATTCGAATTCTGATCTAAGATATCCTACGTTATTTCATGAACAAAAAGGTAAAATAATACAAAAAAGTAATCAATCAGGATTTTTATTTCATTCTCTTTACTATTTTTTTCTTACTCCAAGGTTGATAGATGCACAGAAAGCCTTATACTGTATTATACTTTATGAGAGGGTACGATGTAAGTACTTGATCAAGTTACTACCGAAGCTATCATTCAGAAAAAATGTAAAACAAATATTTAGAAACATGCTTGTTATACACGAATAAACAAGGCTAATAGCTTGAAAAATTATTGACGTAAAAATTAGATGAATTCACTTGCATAGCATTTCTTTTTAAAAATCTTGTTACTTTTAGTTTAACATGGATCAAAACAAAGACGGGTAATGTATCTGATAGATCAGAAAATAATATAATAATTCATTTGAAAAATCAGCTGATTTATGTGACTATCATAATCAGCAAATTGCGGACAGTTCAATGTAAAGAAGTTAGAAGACAAAAAGATGCAAAGAATATTCAAAAACGTCTTTGATTCATTTCAACAAATCAATGGATTTGAACTACACTTATAAAAGAAAAACAATTGTAACTCAAACAGATATTTAAAAAATGATTTAGTAATGAATTACAGATTTTCCACAGGATAATAATGGTAAAAAACGCAAAGATAAAGATGATTGTTTAAAGTTATTTTTGATGTTCTTTCTTATCTATATCTATAAAAAAAACTTTTTAACCTGGAGGTTATTTATAACGTATTAGTTTCACGAAAAATTCATTTAGCATATTTCAGAGATTGATTATTCGTTGAAAATTTCTATTTAATGTTTTCATCAAAAAATTTTTGATTACCATTTCTATTCAAGATTATGATTTGTCAGAAATTTTCAAGAGAAAAGAATTCAAACCAAATTTGTATTTCTTTTACTATTATTAACTATTTGTCAATTTTATAACGAATAGAATAAAAAGTTTGAAGTGAATGATTCAGCAGACAGACATTTGCGTATTTTAAAATAATCGTCAAATTGATCAAATTCTTTATAAAAAATATTTTCTAAACTATATTAGAAACTTGTTTTATATGATAGAAGTACGAAAGGGTATAAGATAAAATTTTGATAGTATTTACAAAAAAAAATAATATACGACATACTGCAGTATCTGTCTGCTCTTTTACCATCTAACTAAACGTTTTGTGCACGCATCCTTTGGCGACAAACCACTTGTCTATTTATTACCTTTTCTCCTTTTCTTCACTTCAGACAAGAATACAAGGTAATAAACAAGGTAAACATAGAAATTATCATCTATTTATATTGCATAGCATTTTCAACCAAACCTTCAAATACAAGAATGCATTGGTTACTATTGATATACGTGTGCCTTGGTTTCTTAACTTATGTAGTTACAAGTCCAGTAACTTATGAAAATGTTCGAGGTACACCTTATAATGTTTCATATGACCCGCGAGCTATTACAATTAATGGTGTTCGAACAATGCTTATATCTGGTGCTATACATTATCCACGTTCGACACCAGGTATGTGGCCTTATATAATGAAAATGGCGAAAAATCAAGGTCTTAATACCGTTCAAACATATGTATTTTGGAATATACATGAACAAAAACCAGGTGTATTTGATTTTAGTGGTCGTGCTAATTTAAGTCAATTTCTTCAAGATGCTGCTGATGCTGGTTTATTTGTTAATTTACGTATCGGTCCATATGTATGTGCTGAATGGAATTATGGTGGATTACCTGCTTGGCTTAATCAAATACCTAATATATCATTTCGTTCAAATAATGATCCATGGAAAACTGCAATGCGTACATTTGTAATGAAGATTATTGAATATGTTAATCCATATCTTGCTAAAAATGGTGGTCCTATTATTCTTGCTCAAATTGAAAATGAATATAATGGTAATGATCAAGCTTACGTTGATTGGTGTGGTAGTTTAGTAACAAATGAACTTTCATCAACACAAATTCCATGGATTATGTGTAATGGTCATGCAGCTAATTCAACAATTGAAACATGTAATTCATGTAATTGTTTAGATGATGGTTGGATCGATAGTCATCATAAAAATTCTCCTGATAAACCAATGTTATTTACTGAAAATGAAGGATGGTTTCAACAATGGGGTGATGCTTTTGCTATTCGTACAACAGCTGATGTTGCTTATTCTGTTGCTGAATGGTTTGCTGGTGGTGGTTCGTATCACTCATATTATATGTGGCATGGAGGAAATAATTATGGACGAACAGCTGCATCAGGTATAACAACAATATATGCTGATGATGTACTTCTTCATGCTGATGGTACACCAAATGAACCAAAATATACTCAATTAAGTCGTCTTCAACATTTAATTTCTAATTATGCTCAAGTTTTATTAAGTCAAAATTCTACTCGTACACCATTACCATATTGGGATGGACAAAAATGGTCAACCGGTACTCAACAATTTGTTTATTCTTATCCACCATCACTTCATTTTATTAGTAATCAAAATGATAATACATTCGGTGTACTTTTTCGTAATAAAAATATTTCTATGACTGGTCATTCTGTACGTATATTTGATGATAATTTAAATTTATTATGGGATAGTACAAATGTAAGTGATATTCGAAGTGATAATACTGAAATTTTTCCTATTGTTATTGGCCCACTCGAATGGCGAACATGGTCAGAACCAGTTACATCAAATTTACCTGTTCTTACTTCATTATATCCAACAGAACAACTTAAAATAACAAATGATGAAACAATTTATTTATGGTATCGTCGTAATGTAACATTAACACAAACACAATCACATACATTAGTTCGTGTTGAAACACGTAAAGCAAATGCATTATTATTTTTTTTAAGTGGAGAATATTTAGGTGAATTTGATAATCATGATCATAGTCAAGGTTCATTAACAGCAACAATATCATTAGATCTTTCAGCATTTAAACCAAATCAACAATATTTATTTGAAATTCTTTCTATTTCACTTGGTATTGATAATGGTATATGGGAAAATAATTTTGACTATAAAGGTATTGTGGGAAATATATGGCTTAATGATCAATTATTAGTAAATGATGAAACAAATCTTTGGGAACATCAAAAAGGTTTAATTGGAGAATATTTTCAAATTTATACGGAACAAGGCTCATCGAAAGTTGAATGGAATACACAATGGACAAAAGGTATTAATAAACCAATAACATGGTTTCAAGCAAGATTTAATCTTGATCATATTGTACGAGAAGATCTAAATGTTAATCCTATTTTACTTGATGCTCGAGGTCTTAATCGTGGTCATGCATTTATTAATGGAAATGATCTTGGTCTTTATTGGTTATTACAAGGTGTTTGTCATGATTCAACACCATGTTGTTGTCAACAAGCACAAATTAATTGTTTAGAACCAACTCAACGCTATTATCATATTCCATCAGATTGGCTTATGCCGGAAAATAATTTACTTACAATATTTGATGATTTAGGTGCACCATCACCAGGTTCTGTTGGTATTGTACAACGTGTTGTTGTAGCTTAGACATAAAACAATGACCTTTTTTTTTATTCTTTTAGTTTAACAGAGTGTGCATTTTACTTCTTTTTATTTTCTTTCGTACATATAAGAATAAAAACAATAGTGAAATTTATTTAATCACTAGTTAATCCATTTTTAATTCTTCAAGATTTTCTAATCTCTATATTTTTCATTTAAACGACGTCTTCTTTAGTAAAATACAGAGATGGGCGAGTCAAGCCATTTTTCGAGTCGAGTCAAGATATTTTTTCCAATTTTTTGTTGTCTGTTTGTTTATATAAGGAAAGTTAACACCAAGTTTTTCATTACACGATATTTTTCACAGTTTTTTTTATGTACAAAAAAGAACAGTCCTACATAAAATAAAATGAGACAACTACTATAGATTTATCAACAAAATAAGAACAGTAGGATCAACTCTTCTCTTTTATACAATTATACAATACAGTAAAAAAAAACGCATAATTTTTTATAAACAAAAACCTAAACTTAAAGTTATTCACAAACAACAATTTTTTATTAATATTTAAATCAATGTCTTATTGCACTTTAAGGATGTTAAAATGCAAATGTTAGCTTGTGAAAATTTTTAAACGATGTAGTCTCATTAAAAGACCATCTTGAGAAAACACAGGTTTAAAGCTATCATTTATGATCATAAGAATACAAATATCGAAAAAAGTTCTTGAAAAAATTGTTCGGATGCAGTGTATTCAATTAAATAAAAGTTATGAATCAGACAAAATTTAATTTCATAAATTTTGTTTTTTTTATAAGAGCAAATGAAATGTTTTTTTTTGTGAACGAATGACTCGAGTGACACAGTTGAGTCAACGTCAGTCCATTTTCGAGTCCGAGTTATGACTCGGACTGGCCCGTCTCGGGTAAAATACATAGATTTACAGTAAAACTTCTACATTGTGAACACTATCGGAACTGGCGAATAATATTCAATAGAGCAAGGCGTGTATAAGAGAGAAGGTCAAGCAAATATAAATTAAAATATCAGTTTTATCACTGTCTACATCCTTTTAAATGCTTTTTGTTGTTTTATTAAATAGTTTTTGACTTTTAGTACTTTAAATTTTTTAACTAGATGAATTTCAAACATCACATTCATGTCCTGTCTAATCAGGTTTAACCCTTTAAGTCCTGAATTTTTTTTCTGAGCTAAAATTTGATGAAACTTGATATAAACTAACTAGATGATGTTAGGAAGCATGTGGTTAAATTACAATTAAAAAAAGCACATGATCACATGAAAATTATAATATTTTTGTTAATGTTGCAGTTTAGTAAAAAATTTGTTATTATAATTACTGAAACATTTATTTATTTCATTATTAATACAAGTAGTTTTGATGATACAACAAAAAACAACTTTTAACGCAAAGATTGACACAACAAAAGTTACAAATTATGTTCGCCCTCTTCTCCATTTCTTTTGTGCTATAATAAGCACACTGACGATAAGTTGAAAATAGCTTTTGGCATATGAGTCAAAAGTTGTAGTTCTTCCGAACTTTCTGTGTTATTTATTCTCTTTTCAATGCGTTTCTTCTTCTAATTATTTATCCCCGAAGTTCTTTCTACTCTTTTTCTACTTCAATAATTACCTACGAGTGCAGTATTAATAGAGGACTCATATCCTAAATATCCTTGAGTACTAAATTGGTCAAATCGTTGGCTTCCATATGAATAACCTATGCTGACTCAATATTCGGACACACATATAGATATTGCGTATTGTATGTACAGAAGATAATTCTCTTGTTCAGAATTGATGGAAATAAAACAAATGAATTTAATCTTTTGCAACGTACTGAACTGTCTACCACAGTACCTCAGATATATCTCATGGATATAGATTTTGAAGAAAAGGAAAATCAACGAAAAAGTTTTAAAGACCAGTTTATGGGTTAAAACTTTTTTCGGACTAAAGAAACTTGGCCCGATACACTTTTTAGTCTCATTCATGCTCCCTATCATTCGTGCAAGCTTGTACAGGTCTCTACCAGCTTCTAATATTTATTGAAAATATTTCTCCAAAATTCTGAAAAACTCGATGATTAGAAAATTTTCAAAATGATACATATGTGTACCACCAGGACTTAAAGGGTTAACTGAAATCATGATTCATCTTTTTGTTTAGATTAGTTTCATAATTAGTAATATATTCATTTTTTTTCTTTTAAGAATATTTGACACAGCGCTCATGAACGCTTACAATTTATCTCTTAATTCACAATGAAATAAATCAAATTTTATTTATTTTTTGATTGAAAACATTTTTTGCTTTAAATCAAGAACATCTCGAGACACAATATCTGATTGGCAAAGATTAAGAAGTTGTTCAAAAGGCCAACGATATCTGTTTGTTCATTCTTTATCTTTTTTCGCTTTGATTGAATTAAATTATAGAGCCAATTTATTTCTTGATAATCGTATAATTTATTCAGGTGCCGCCTTTTACTAATGTTCACATTGACAAAGTCAATACATACAGATGGAACCAAAAAAATGTGTTCATAAAGGACCAATGTAACACCATCAAAACCTGTTCGCGACAACCGAAGAATATTTACTGCAAGAAGCTTTACTATATTAGTCATTTTTTATATCCTTTAATTTGTCATATTTATGGATTGATTTGTTCAAGTATAACAAATGTTAATGTATGATAAAATGAAAATAATTATATTGAAAATCATCAAAAGTATTCTGCTCATGAAATATTTTAAGGTCATTTTCACAAAGCATTGAAAATATTTTTTTTAGAAAAGAAAGCAGTAGGTTAGTGGAATAGACGAACATATGCATAATAAATATCGACAATAAAAAAATAACTCATCCTTGAAAGATAAATATAAGCATTTATCTCCAATATGGTTGAGAATTTTGTAAAAAAAAAGAAATGATTCATGAATTAGAGAATTATAAATTAGATTGTTGCATAATCATTAAAATTAATAATCTTTTTATATTTTGAAAGAATATTAAAAAAATGAAAATATTATCTCTCATAAACAAAGATTTATTATCTAGTTAAGTCAGTTCTGTAATTATTTTATCTTTGATTTATCGATAGACTTCATGCGAAAAAATCAAATTATTGATTTATAATTTCATAGTTAAATTCTACCATTTTAGTATATTCTCTTAATAAAAAAAACAACATAACCAGCTCGGGTTCAAAATGTTTCTGATTTAAAAACTTAAATTTTTATTATGACAAGAAAACAAATCAAGAACAGATGTTATGTATTGTTTTCTTGCTAAAGCATGTCTATTGCATCCTTTTAACCAACAAGCCCACTACGCCATAGGCCATCATGATCAAATCGACGACGTCCTGGTATTATCACTTTAGCCGTGTCTCGCTTTCGTCCAGTAAGCCATTCTACAGGTCGACGATTTTGTTTCGCCCATTGAAAATAATAGTCATCACCTGAATCCCAACTGTCACGTGTTTGAAAATTATCTTCATTTTCAGTCAATTTTAATTGTTGATTAAGCAATGGTGTAAATACATCTTTATTATTTTGTATTGATGATGCAAAGGAATTGTCCTTTATACTCACTGGTGTTCGAAGTAAATTGTGTAAACGAACCTCATGACTGGTATATGATAAAACTGTAATGAAAAACAAAAAAAGTTCTTCCATTTGGCTTTCGTTTTCATTTAAAACTTACTACTAGAAAAATAAACGGTAAAGACAATTAAAAGATGAAATACAACGATGGATTTCATGACTGCTATTTTGACGTTACAATATGAATGAATTGCGTGTGACTAAAAAGAAAAGAAGATTATTGTTGATATTTATAGGGAAAAGAATAATAAACATCTGGCATTGATGACATAAAAATAAAAGAAAAACCACTGTATCGGATTAAACACTTCAAGAATTTTGCGTCAATTAGATTCTACTAAATGGCTATGTTAGTTGTCTTTTTGTGAGCACAAGATAAGAAATGAAAATAAAATGTTCGATAAGAATCCAAATTCTGATGTTGAATACTGAGATAAAAAAAAACCTTATTAGTTATATTTGATTTCCTTTGTTGGTATTACTACATTTGTTGAGAGTAGGTGAATGGTGTATCACCAAATATTTCGTAACATCCTACGCTCCCAGTTGTTTTTCTTAACTATTACATCGCCGTGTGTGTGTTCGCTCTTTTTCATAGTTTCACATATATATGAACGAGTAGGAAGGAGATTTTTTCGACGTAATTATTAATATTAGCCAGAGTTCTTCTACTCTTAGATTGTAAGTGGATTTAAGGTTCGATAAACATTTATTCAATAAAAAAACAACATATGAAGAATACTTTATGTAATTACTTTTTTTTAATCTTGATATATTATTTTAAAACAACCATAAAACCAATGTTTTATTCATTTGACAGAGAAGGATAAATTTATAGAATTGTAGCTGCACGGAATTAATCCATTAATATTTTATACAACATGAAAGTTGATTTTTAACCCTTTGGGGACGGTTGGCCCCTTAAGGGGCCATGGCGATTCTCTAGCATCTCAAAACACGCAGATTCCTATATGAGATTAGTTTTTGTGAAAGCATTTATCAGAGAGTTTTTTGGTATAATTTGGATTGTAATTAGGTTATTTTATTCAGATATCCAGTAATAGATTATAAGTTCTTTTAGAAAATAGAAACGTTGAATGATTTATGACGAAATATACAGAAAAAAAAACCCGCCCCCAAAGGGTTAAACTGTGCAAATAAGAATATGTTATTAGGAATTTCTATAATTCGAGTTAAGTGGATGTAGAATGATGAGATTTTAAGATAAGTAGTTTTTATAATGTCAACAAAGATGTATATCAGGAAATTAATATATTGAATGATAAACTTGTAGATAATTGATTACAACATAATATATACAGTCATGAACACAAGTAACTATCCTATAGAAAGTGCTACTATTCATTATGATATTGAGCTGATAATTTTGATGGGTTGTGCGACAATAAACTCTAATCGATAGCATCGACTCATTCTCTATCGATTCACATGTATTGGAAATACGATTCAGATATAATCTTCTTCTTGTGATCATCTTATCTCAAACATATTATCATGAATATTTTCGTCGTAGCTATCTCTAGTTTGAATTTTGTTAGAAATCACTTTAAAATAACCGAGATATTGTCTTCTTATTAAGAATGTATGTTGAAGAGCAAATGCTGGTTTTTTAGTAAGATGAATCTTGTTCATGATGAGTTTGACCAATCGAAAATTTTAATAGAAAGTTCCGATGAAATGATAAGTCTATTCTGAAAGTTTTATAGCTACAACATTGAATGAAATCAAGTTAACGCTACAACACGGGTCATTATTTCAAGGCGTGATAAGTACTAAGATCTTGACTATGTACCGCAGGCTTTGGTAATAATAAAGTAGACACATGGAGCTGTAGAAAAATCAATTGTAGCTTGTATAATAGCAAAATGATTAATAAAAACTTTTTGTGTGCATATTTCGACTGAATACGTTTTCCAGAAGGAAAGGAAAATATGTGAGTCATGATTCCAATACATGCCAACTGATGGAGAGCTGATCGTTTCTTGCAACCATGATTTATTGTCGTACGTATGCATTCAAAATATTAGCTAAATATCATAAAGGATAATAGCACTTCATGAGAAGCGACTACCTTTTGTTTCTTTTCCAATGACAAATAAAAGAATATTGCTTATATCAGTTGCCAATGATTGTAATGTCTATTCTCAGTAACAATACTGAAAAAGTTAATAACCTTAAATACGTATGTGATCTTTCGATATATTCATGGATCGGGTTACGCAAGTGGACAAGAATTCCTGAAATGTGTGTTTAAATTCTCTAATTGCAGTTTCACGTTCATTCAGAAAGGCAAATTTTGCATCTGGAAAGCGTGTGAAATTTTGATGTGTTTTACAGATTAAAAAAATACTTTTTTAAGCATTTTTAATGATAATCATAGCTAATTTTGATGTTTTTTAAGTGGACGTGAAAATGCTTAAAGAGGAACTGTGATTACACTGCTTAAAGGCGTTTTCAAAATTCTTCTCTGCTTGGGTAATAAGTTACACAAGCTTGTTTCACTGTTAGTAGATGACAATAAAGCTTTCTTATCTTATTAAACCAATAGTTTTGAAAGCTCTAAGTTTTCTTTTTACATTCTATACTTTGATAAGCTTGACTAGGAATGAATATTTTCTCGGGAGATTTTTTCGATAGATAAAAGACATTGATTATTCCTTACATTAGATTATTTATTTAAAACTACGTATATATGCTGAACACTTCATATAATGTGACTAGTATAAATTTAATGAATTAACTTAGAATAAGAATTTTACAAGAGAAAACATTTTAATATGTTAATTGAAAAAATTTTATTGTTGTAGTATAACTGAACAAATTTTGTTTTGTTAGTTTATTGAGTATAATAAATTGAAATTCCTTCTTTACATAAGGAAATATGATGGAGTTTAACTTTTTCACTTTTAATAGATATTAATTTAAATTATTAATGATGTTTTTTAATTTCTTCTATATTATTTATGTACAATTGTCATAATTATATGATTTTAGACAATTTAAACGTTCTGAAATTAGATAAAAAAGAATTTCTTGAACATAAAAAATATCAATAGACTGTAAAGTCGAAAATAGTGATGCACCAGTGACAGTGAGCAGCTGATACATTATTCATTGCTAATATAGATCTAGAGTAAATCGACACATTGATCGAGACATGTAATCGTAAACTAATAATGAAAGTCGCGTTTTTTTTTGGCACCATTGAGTTGTCTTAATACGAATTCATATGAATCATACCAAAAAAAAACGATCTCATTGCAGATTCTGATACGTTTATCGGCTATATAGGTGCTCATTAGAGATTTCTTGAGTGTTTAACAGTTTTAGTGACTGTAATGGTGATGATTGAAAATGCATCCCTACAGAAATAATTGGTACCTTGCATTGATATATATTCACTCAGATATGTTCAGTAAATTTCAAAATCTCATTAAGTATTTGATAACCATTAACTTCAAGATTTCAGTAGAAGAAGTCACTATATTTATTCACAATTATTATATCAACTTGATTTGATCATTTGCTGATAACATTGTGCAAATTCTCAAAAGAAAACTTTCAGAATGTAATATTTGTTTTCCTGCAACCTACGTTTTCTTTTACAATTGATAAAACAATGGTTGTTTTTTGTAATAATATTTACTTCTATTATTTATTCGATTTTCACATATTTGACGATAACAAATGTAATAGACATTAAAAAAAACCATGACTGGATCATCTAGCAGTGGGCATGTTGTTTTCTTAATGCGATTTTTCGAAACTCACGTCTATCTAATGAAACGTTTGTTTCCTATGTTCGATTAAATTTATTTGATATCGATCATTTAATTTATTCAATCTATAGTTTATTAATTAATATAGGAAATAATTAGAAAACATATGAAACAGTATTTGAAAGAAATAAAAAACTGCGGTGTGAAAGTTTTCACATAAACAAAATTTTTTTTTAATCAGAAGCTAATCAAGTATACTTACATAAACCGAATTTTTTCCACTTATTCTTCTCATTCAATTTACCTATTCTTGATTAAATATAAATCTCAAATAATTATTGTGAATCAAATTAGAGTATTCATTCTTTATTTTTCTCATCCTCGTATAAAACCAAACACAAGAAAAGATCACATAAAAAATGAAGTATGTAGAAATTATTACGTTATCATTTCAATATAGATTTCCATCTCGTGTTTTCAGTCAACGATACTGATAAACCGTACTACATGTCTAAGATAAAGATCAATAGTATGGTAGAAACCAATTGATTTCCCTCCTTTGTTTTTTTTTGCGTTTTTTATTGGTATTCGTCGTTTGTTTTTAACATATTATGTATAGTGTGAAAGTAGGAAATCCGTTGCATCTTATGATATATCTGTCTTGAACGAAGAATAAAGTTTAACCCTTTGAGTGTCGGATTATTTTTATATAATAAAAATTTTTATAATTTCAAACTAACGTTTATTTCACAAAAAATATCACAAAGTACATGAATTAAAATGCTTGTAGAGTGTGATAGTCTTTAAAACAATTCATAAGACACAATCCTACATCACATTCAATGCGTTCATACGAAGTATCTCTTCTTGATCTGGCTCGTCTCACAGTATTGGCACAAACGTAGCATTTTCTTCTTGGATTTAGTTGAGTCTCTGTTGATTCAATGCACGAAGGAAAATGTTATCAAATATGATCAATTGATCAGAACCTTTACTATAGATAACACTCTTGAATGACTGTGTTAATATAAAAAATCCTCTTGATAACGATTATTCTTTCTTGGGAAATATGGTCCAATGACTTATGTTCTAATTCATTGAATCATATAGTGGTCGATAGAAATATTAGGGAACAACCAATATTCATCACTAGATACAGATAGTCTTAACTGTACAAATATCCTAAACGCAAATATTCATGTAATTTATATCATAAAATAATCAAACGATCATGTTTTCTAAAGTTATTCAGACTCTAAACTATCAGGACGCGAATTCGCGTCGTCGGTACTTAAAGGGTTAAAGCATAAAAGCTGTATCGGAAAAACAGATGGCGTTTTTCTTTCTACAATCTATGTTCACATTTAGACCATAATAAAGGAAATTTATCGGTTTATCACAACAGCTGGTTATAATATACATAAATTCCATATGTTATATCAGTTTTTAGATAAACACTATTATTTTCTTCTGTTCAAAATGAATACAACGTTGATAATAATAATAATAATGAGAAGCCTATACATGCAGTTATGAAAAGGATTTAAATATTGATAAATACACAAATGAGAAAACGAATGGCACAAAAACATAGACCAAAATAAAAAATGGGTATTGTGTTATGCACATTAACACAGGCGATAAAGAAATATGAAATAATTTGAAATTAAATCTTTTCTTACTTTCCATAGAGAAAACAGTCTTTACCTTATTTTATTATGCTGATTAGTGTCGATAATAGAGCTCTGAATAAATATAAACTGTGAACTAGTGTTCTGTATGAGTACAATTTTTCGTACCCGGACCCAGATCGAAGCTAATTACCGTACGGCAGAAACTTTTACTACAGTTTTCAAACTTTCACTTTATATGAAATAGTATATTGTTCAGTTTCTTCCATAAGCAGCAACAGAAACAAGAGATTTCGTCAAATTCTATAAAAAGACACGTGAATTAAGTAATTCAGAATTCACTTGGTGTCTTTATACTTCTGAAATCCGATCAATTTCGCTAAGTATACATTTACTTGTTCCTATTGATGCGAGAATGGAACACAGTGTTGGTGTCAAACATCATGATTGTGGATATATGCATGAATACTTTTTCCATTACGATAGCACACGTTCATATTTTTGATAGTTCATTTTTTTCTCCATATATTCAGTTACTTCGTCGAATAATTCATCGTCATCTGTAGATGAATTTTCATTAAAAACGAATTTTCATAATACAATATCTCCTTCCATTTCTGTGACCTATTCTCAAGTACAATAAATTGCTTAATCATGATTGAATCGATTTTCATTCCTATGCTTATATATATATATATATAGCAATTTGAAAAGTAATAATATTCTCAAACGTTGAGATCCCATATATTCGGGTATCGGATGTCCGGCTCGATTTCAAAACACTACTGTGAACTAATGTTTGTTAATAGAAATACAAACACAACAAATAACAGAGAAAATCCGCCTAGTTCACCCGGGAATGTGAAGAAAAAAGTATCACTTTTTTTTCTGATACAGCTTTTAAGTTTCAGACCTTATCCGTTGTTCAAAGGGAATATACCATAAGATGCAGTGCATTTCGTACTTTGTTGCTGCATACAGTATGTTTAAAAATATAAAAACACAAAGAGGGCAAATCAATTAACCTCCGTGGTGTACGTGCAAGGCTTTTTTTGATAAATCGCGATAGTTAGCTTTGATTAATTCTTAAGAAAAGAAAAGTCACATTTTAAGTGTGGTCTTTTGTATCTTATGCTATACCTTATTTGTGAATATGATTGATTTCCATATTCATCAAAGTCATCGTGAGAAATAGTTGAAACATTGGAGGCAAAGACTTTTGCATCTTGCTATATGTATGAAGTAATAAAATAATTACTCAGATGGCATACGAAGAAGAGCATCAACTCGAATACTTATATCATTCACCAAAGGATTTTCTACAATTGTTTGAACAACTTGTGCGAATTCATCTGAATCACCAAGTCGAGCAGAAAAGAGTGAAAAATCACCTGGTATATTAGAAACTTTTACATGTAATTCACGTAATAGCGATGTATCAAAAACATCAGGAACAATATCACATACACAAATATTCATTGATGCTAATTCTTCTGCTAATGGTCGAGCCATTTTCACAATAACTTCTTTTGATGTTGCGTAAACTGTTTGTCCGCGTCGTCCTTCAAATGCAGCTACATATGACATATTTATAATTATTTCATTATTTACCATTAATGGAATCATATGCTGAATCATATTATATGTTCCATTAGTATTAACATCAATTATACGATTAAAATTTTCAAATGAATGTTCAAAAATTTGTTGAGAAAGGGTAATACTAGCACAGTTAACAAATACATCTATGCAAACGAAATCTTTTTGACTACGATTAAAAACATTTTTTTACATCCGATTCAGACGTAAGATGAGTTGGTAGAATTAATGATAAACAAGGAATATATGATGAACATGCTGAAGGTAAATCACATATGATAACATGTACATGTAACTGATGTACAAATCTCTTTACACAAGCAAGACCGGTACCTAATAAATCATCAGTAAGTAATGTAACAAGATCTTTCATCTAGAATTTTAGTTTTATTGCCCTTTCACCAAATTTTTTTCGGCATCGATTTTATTTTCTTTTTTCTATTGAATATCAATACAAAACGACAAAAATTTTCAATAAAGAGAACTGCTTGAACAAATGGAAAGACCAAAAAAAAAAAGGTTAAGTTCTTCGTCTATTCAAATAATCACTAAGGTGGCATACGAAGTGCTCCATCTAATCGAATAACTTCACCATTAAGATAAGGATTTTCAATAATAGCTTGTGCTAACTGAGCATAATCATCAGAGTTTCCAAGTCGTGCTGGAAATGGAACCATATTGCCCAATAATAGTCGAACTTTTGCAGGTAAAGCAGCAAGCATTGGTGTATGAAAAACACCAGGTGCTATAGCACAAACTCGAACACCCATATTTGACAAATCCCGTGCTAATGGTAATGTCATAGATACAATTGCACCTTTTGATGCTGCATATGCTACTTGTCCAATTTGACCTTCATAAGCAGCAACAGAAGCTGTATTAATAATAACTCCACGTTGACCTTGAGCATCAGGTTGATTATCAGCCATAACATGACAAGCCCAACGTATAACATTGAATGTACCTGCAGTATTTACATCAAGAACACGTCTAAATTCTTCAAGACCATGCATTGCACGCTAAATAGAAAGAAATAAAATTGTTAATTATCTCATAGAACATGATGAAACAAGATCAAATCTATCATCACCCTAAGGAAACTTCCACTTACTACATGCATCTAGGCAGACATTTGACTAAAAATGAAAACCACACTTTTTCAAGGTTTAAATATAGAGAAACATACCTTGAAACAGAGTCTATCTAATCGTAGGAATAATTCTGTTACAGCACTCAAAGAAAATGAAAAATTAGCCTGAAAATTATGATGTCACCGGGAAAATTGATATCTGACAATATTAAACTTTTCGACATATAAATCAAGTACATTGTCCGAATCTTCAAGTCGAGCTTTGTAAAACGGTAAAAATTATTTTTTTTAATTTGCATGTTTAACCTTTGAGAAAAAAAAATAATATTTTTTTTCCATAGTGTTGTCCGAAGGAGTATGCATGTAAAATAAGTTATCCACTTACATGCAACTTCCACACTTTTCCAAATTTTGCTACAATTTTCATCTATCTACTGTCTCTAATTCCTGTCAGCACAAATACTGCTAAACTGCACAGTGAGTTTCCAAAAAACCTAGGCTATTCGATTTTTCTGGCTTTAGAAATATATTGAGTCAACAAAAATAATATATTAGGAATCAGTAAATTAAGCTGCGTCGAATGATATATAATACGAAACAGTTTTGAAAAATATTTTCTCGCAAAAATGAAGACAAGGGTCTCCCTTGGGCATTTTTTGTCGAACATCTTTCTTTCTTAGAAATGCTTTTCTGCGTCATATCCAATCATTTCTGAGCAAGAAAATTACATGTCGGCCTACCATGCAAAAAATGCACACTGCCCATATCGTCTGAACCTTATGAGTGTGGGTGTGGGATGTCGGTATTAGTACAAAGCAGATTCCTACACCCAAGTTCTGAACATGAAATAATCAATATATCAGAAAGAAGAAAAATCATAACTGGTACTCATCAGCTGTTTCAATTAAAGAACTTGTTTCATATATGAGAAGTGCTGTTTAACCCTATGAATATTTCTTAGAAACAGTTCTTTGTATGCACATTTGATGCGTAATAAAAGAAAAATTGTATTAATTCAAAATGAGCAAAAAAGACACATGTGAAAAGAAAAAACAATATTTCCTCCCTTTTCTCCCACATGGTACGTTCGATCTGGCTCAATTTGTTTTCTAAATGTTTTAGTCAAATTGAGATGCGTGTTTTTTTTTCTTCGAAATACTATTTCTAAGAAATCCGGCAGCCTTTGAAAAAATTAGTACTATCGAAAAAAAAACATTTTTTTTACGGTACTTCCAGTATCTTGCTTCTTCTGAGCTCTAGGAACGATATTTTTAAAAGACAAAAAAAGACACACCCAGATTTGATTCTAGTTGTCATAAAAAAGGTTGCAGCTCGAAAAAATGAAGGATAACATTTTGTGCAAAAGGAAAACTTCTGACTATTTTTGATCTTTGCGATCTCTGTATAAGTATCTTGGAATTTTACGCTTATGACAATTTTTGATCTACTTATCGAGATCTATCTGTTCCCGGAAAGGGAAAGGAGAAGGTTTGCCTTAAATTCTCCTTGTTTACAATAGAAACTGTTTTATAACCTTTCAAATTTTAGTCATATCAAAGTTTTATTCTTACTTTATTTATATTATAAGTTCGAAAAGCAACACCAATTCCAGCACAATTAAGTACAGCATCAAGACGATTATATTCTTGTTTTATTTTGTTAAATATATCTTGTATTTGTTGTTCATTAGTAACATCAGCCGCAAAGAAAATTGGTGCTTGTTTTTGAATATTTTCATTTGTTGATGTAGTATCCTTTGCAAATATTTTTTGAAAATCTACTTTCCCACCTTGTTGATCATGACGCACCTAAATAAAATAAGCACATTAGAAAAAAAATTTGGAATTAATTTAGATTTATTAGATAAAGATTATAACCTATGGCACGAAATATTCGCTTATTTTTCGGTCACTAAAAGACAACTAGTTAGAGCAAGAAGCAAAATTTTTCACTATTTCCGAACATATGTTCAGATTTTCCTTCGAGGATAAGATTAAACAACTGTCAGTAAATTTTGTACCAAAAGAAAAAGTTCTAATTTGTGTTTGTACAAACCAAAATAATGATTCTGATGTAGTCATTAGTTTGTGTCTTGGAACAGCTTCAGCTCAATATTATTGTGCAGAACACTTAATTCTGTACAAAATAAGATATTACAATAAGCGAAATCTCATCTATACGTTTCTCCTGAAGAGCTAGTTTCTATGGAAATCGGTGTTGGTTAAAAAGTTCACTGTTTCAAAAACTGCATTTTAAAAACACAAAAGTTCTAATATCTGTTATGCAAAAGTAAATAGTACACTTTGTAGAGCAACCTTTTCTCTTCAAAACTAAGTCATTAAAACTGTTTTGCATTTTAAATTTGATATATATCAATCGAAATAGGAAATTGGCTAAAACAACATTCTGTAAAACCACTATTGTACAACAAGCTGATAATAGTTATTCAATCTTACTAGAGAAAGGAGATGTCATGGCTAAGTATTGTGTTCAAAGCTTAGTACCACAAACCATGAAATGACTCTAAGCAAGTCACTAATGGCTATTTGTCTCGGATCATCCATCCGTAAGCATGCTGACCATGTTGTGACATACACCTGCTCTTGTGACTAATGTTCGTGCCAGAATTGAAGAGAGAAGAGTGTAACCTTAATAATTCGACAACCGCAACAGTTAACGATCTGTGGTTTTCAGCAATCGGAAGAGAAGAACTCCGGACGTGTTTTTGTCTGAGACTATATAAGATAAAATTATTCTTTAAAACCCATCATCTTGACAAAAAGTTTGAAAATATGCATGAAAATGATCGTTCCGTTTCGATGTAATTTTGATTTTGACATATGTTTCTGATAGAGAGACCTCAGATCTGCAGTTCAAGGCACGATTCAGATGACTAAACTTTCATATCTCAATGTTGAGCAAACAAAATCATGTATGTACTCAGTCAAATGACACAGATTTCTATTGAGTGTTAGCAAATCTCCTGACTTTTTTGTTAAACTTCCCTTGAAACATAATACCGGTGAATGTTTTGCAGAGATGACAGATTTTTAAATAATTCTGTCTTATATAATATCGCACAAAAAGCGTCCGAAGTTTTCCTTATTGAATTTTCTGAAAGCTACAGGTTGCTAATTGTTGGTATTTTTGAGTTATATGATTCACACTCACCCTTCTTCAATTCTCTTATGAATATTAGTATGTAGCTAGTTAGTGTGTACAAAGAGCTCAAGAAATTCAGCGCAAAAACTCTGAATCAGGCAGACCTTCTACTCAGAACTACAGCTAGTATTAGTTGTAAGGAAGATATCGGGCTACTGGATCTGCCAGTAGGCAACATCTCATACCAAAAGGCAGGACTATTCTTCTTTCTTACTCCAGAAGAAAATTCTGAACATATATTCGAAAAGAAAGTAAAAGTTTTATTCGAATTAATTGCTTCGAATTCTAACCAGTTATCTTTAAATGACCAAAAAATGAGTGAATATTTTGAATGAAGACGTTCATGCTATAAATTACACTTTCTGTAGCAGCCAATTTATCAAGATTTTCATCAAGTTCTTGAGTTGGAGTATTTGATATTGAATCCCAATGTGCAACAATTTCATTTCCTTTCGATGAAGGTAAATCACAAATAATAACACGTGCACCTTGTTTTATAAATCGTTTAGCACAAGCAAGACCTAAACCTGATGCACCACCAGTGATTAATGCAACCAGACCTTTCATAGTTTGGTTGTGGTTTTTTTTGTTCTATATCTGAAACATGACCATTATTTGATATTTTTTTTTTATCTATTCATGTTTATAAGAAAAAGAAAAAGAAAGTTTATTTTCGTTTAAGACGCTTTTGAAATTCATTCTCATTTGAATAAGATCTAAGCATTGTTGCCCATCGTTGACAATCATCAAAAAGAATTAAATGTTGCTAGATAACAAAGAAAGAAAGAATTTTTATTTAAATTAAAATCAAATAATTAATTTTTTTCACTTCATGTGTTAATAATTTTTCATGATCAGTTCTTGAATATGGAAGAATTTCATCATAAAGTTTTGATAAATATTCCTAAAATAATTTATCCTTTTTTTTATAAAATAAAAACTATTAATTAGAAATTTTACTATTTGTTGACTATATGGATAACTATCAATAATATCTCCAAGTAATCGTACACAATCAATAAAATCAATTTGTCGTTCAAATAAACGTGGATTAAGTTTATCTTTAATTATTTCATCAATAATCATTGCCTTTTAAATACATAAAAATTTAAGAAATTAAAAAATTCTTTTTTTCTGTTTTCTTACTTCACTTTTCTTCTCATGTTCAATCATATTAACTAATCTTTTCAAATGTAATAATCCAAGTTGTGTACGAATACGAACAGTACGTTCATTGGTTTTTAGAAATAATTCAACAATATAAACATTTTTTGATGATAAAGTATATAGACATTCAACAAGTAAATCACGCTAAAATAAAAAATTATTTTAATGAAATCAGAAAGCACTCAGTTGGATTAGGTGATCTATTCAAAACTGAAAAATCAAATATATCATGTGGTAGAGTAAGTCGAGTTGTGTCGAATAGTATGTAGAAAATCTTATTTTCATACGACTTTGAATGAACTAGAGCCAATTTACTGACGGACGACGATGCACTCAAAGCAGTATCAGTCGAAAGTATTTCTGAGAAATTTTTCTAATATACAGTTTTGTAGAGCTTTTCACGGACTACAAGCTTATATGTTTAACGTCTCCAATTGTTTCATCTTTGATAGGAAAAAAAAGGGAATTTTTCAATGTTCTACCACTGTTTTTTTCACTACTGTTGAGTAGATCCCATCGAGTCCGGGTCTGAATTTTTCCTGTTAACCAAATCTGGATCCGAAAAATTGTGAATCCGATGGATTTAGTTATTTGTGGAATATACTGAATGTTCCTGTGACCGAATATGAAAAAATCGGAAAAAGGTATCTCGTACTTTTGAGACAATCATCCAATTTCGATTGAAAAACTCCATTGAGAGCATCAAAAGACGGTTTGACCAGATTCGACGAATTCTAGTCTATGGAAAAAAACGCTTTATGTCATCGAATTCTATAACTTGTCATAGAGCCAATTGAAAATGAAGATTTACACTGGAAGACCTTCTCTTGTAAAATTCAAACCATTTTCTTATGTTTTATATGTAATTTTTAAAACAACTAACTTTTTCATTCCAATATGTTGGTGTTAATAAAGTAAGTGCATTGACCATTAACCGTCGTGCTATATGAATAATATCTAAATCCAGAAAACGTTTATCAAGTTGAAGATAAAATCCAAGTAAAAATAAAAATAAATGATTATCATTTAATAATGTTGAATTTAATCTAATAAGAAAAAAAAAATATGTTATTTTTTTTTTAAAGAATCTATTAAATATATGTTCTTTTACTTTTCCACTTGAAAATATCCGAGAGATAAAATAATTCGAAAGACACGTTTTATAGAGTTTATTATTTGATTCGTTGATGCTTTACTTTTCGTTTGATCATCATAATTAAGTTTTGATTTTAATTGTACACTAACACAAAAAAAAAACAATTTTTTTTAAAAATAAAAAATTTTTTTGTCTATAATATTTTACTCATTTAATAATTCTGTTATTTTTACATCTCCTAATAAAGCAATAAATTTTTCAACATTAACACCAGCATTATGCAAAATATCGAATAAAAGTCCAATATCGAACTGCCACGTACTTTCAATCTATGGATTCTTTTGTTTTTGTTTTTGTTATTCGAAACAAATGATTTATAAACTTACATCTTCATGAATATAATCAAGAAGATGATCAACAGAATTATTGACAGCATCATCTGTTAAACAACAACCTTTAGAAATATAAAAGACATTAAGAAATTTCTATTAAACTTTCAATTAAACAAACTAACACACTCGAATATATTTTATAATCAGTGCTCTTCTTGTATATTGATCACTTTCATCTTTAATAAACCATAATACTTGTTCAAGCATTTCAAAATCTAAATAAAATATTTCATAAAAACAAAATTATTAACAAAAAAAAAATAATTCTTAGAAACCATTTGTAGTTAAAGCACAATTAATAATTTCATCACATTCAGGATGAATATATGATGAAATAGATGAGGATTTATCAAATCCATTTAATTCTAAATTAGGAACAATACGATAACGAAAATGAGATAGTGGATTAGTTGATGAAGATAAATGTGTATCTGGTATCTAAATAAAAATAATTGCTTGTTGTTTGTAACTATTATTATTATATAATTTTTACGTCAAGTTGTGCTTTTGCTTCGAGAATATCTTGCCTCACTTGTTCTTCTTCCATCGAACGTATTTAATCTTAAATGAAAAATGTAAATTATCCAAATAAAAAAATTTCATTGTTTTTTTCTTGAGAAGTAAAAAACTAGTAGAATTATTTGATCATGCTATAATTTAATTCAAATGAATTTCTTGAATCTAATACTTCGCAAGAAATTTATATCTAGACATTGCACTCGGTCACTATGTTTTTAAAAACAATGAAAGAGTATAAATAACAAATCTTACGAGAAACTTATTCTGATTTTGAATAGTATCTTATGTAAAATTATCGTTAATAAAATTTTATTAAAGAAAGATTATCTTTTCTGATGTAATAGTTTTTTTTTATCATTGAAGTGCCCTTTCTCTTACTTTTATTGAACGATAGATGAATATCATCAACTCGAGATGATAAAAAAAGAAAATTTTTAGAAACATACACATCATGTATGATATAGCTCAATTTTGTATTCGATAGGTCAATCTACGTTAGATTTCTTCACTAGAGACGTATTATTATGATTCAGAAACTCGACTTGAACTATATTTCAAGTAGAATAATAATGAAAGCTGATGACTCATTATCAGAGTACAATGTTTTTAGAACGACCTGACCAGTGTTTCTAATGGAAATCCAAAACAATGTATTTTTATATACTCTATTTTTACTAATAATGTGTGTGCACACTTCGTTATCATAGATGAAGTTTATCACAATCTAAATAAAGAAAAAATAAAGTATTTTTTTTTCTTTAGTGAGAAACATTAACCATACTTAGAGAACGAATAAACAATAAATAGAGATACTAATTCGTTATTTGACATTTTTAAATGAAAATGAGAGAAGAAAATAAACACGAGTTTATAAAAATAAAGCATAAACTAAGGATTACATTCATAGAATAGTTCTACTATTAGATAAATATATTCTGTTATTTAATACCATATGTAGCTTTCAAGGCTCCAAAATCAAAATATCAATATCGTCAGCAAAACGTATCATATGCACTCTGTGTTGTTTGAGCAATATATAAACCAAAGTCTATATCAGAAGAAATACAGATATTTTGTAGATTTTTCTTCTGTTTAGTACACCTATTTTTATAAATACAATACTGGTTTTGACCACTGGACAATAGTTTCCTTCAAGTTAATCCAGCGTTTATTAATGGTTGAACTAGATGAACAAATTGAATGAGACGATAAGAATATTATTTTATAAGTATAAAAATCTAAATTTGAATCAAAACTATAAAAAAAGAAAGTATGATTTTAACTATATCGAATAAACTATAAAATAGATGTCGCTGTCTGCCAGAAGAAAGAATTCACTTTCAGTTCTTTCCAGTTTGCTGATTTTGGACTCACGAAAACAAGTAGATTTAATTGCATTTCAAGCCGAAAGTTTTACGAATTTTTCCAATTACTTTTGACTGTTACCCACAGAAAAGAAGAAGTTGGTCGGAAGTCATCGAGTAAATTCAGAGATTTTTCGGTCCCAAATATTACCTTGAATTTTCATTGATTTCTGAGGCTTTCCTGAAGAAACTAGCTTGTATTGCTTGGTCGGAGTTATGATCATTAAATTTCATACAATTAATTACAAAGCTGGATTATCTAGTAAAATTAATATAATTGAAAATCATTTTTCTGATCATTTTGAAGAACGTAAAAGTATATTATTATTCGAAAAAAAAAATCAATTAGATTTCAGATCATTGAACGAACAACTTAAGACAGATATACTTCCTTTTCTTCTATAATAATGAATGAAAAACTTCAGAAAACATATAAAGTGTTATATACAATCCATTGGAGTATAATCAATGATGAATATTTATCATCGTCTATTGAATTAGTTATCTCTAGTGAGAGTTTGAGTCTCCTACATTCAAAATCAACATAATTTATTGCTGTTTATGACTCAAAAATAGAATCATTGAAGTTAACTGAGAATAATCAATCCTACATTTATTTACCAGTTGTACTAGCACAATCAATTTGATCTGATATGTAGCAATTTGGCCGAAACAAAAAAAAATGTTGAAGTCAATTATAGCGAAAAACAAATGTCGAAAATGTTCCACATCTTATTAAGTGACTCTATTATGGATGGGATATGAGAGTATGTGTGAAGAAAAAATTGATATTCATATGTACACACACCCATACTAATCCACATAAAGAAACGTATTGTCTTGTCGTTAATTTTGTTCTTGAATATTTTTCATGCACTATTATTTCTTGTTGGTGTACTTAAGTGTCTCTCATTGTTTTCTATGCAATAAAAATTCTTCATCGCACTGATTGAGAATCATAAAATACACTTTGTTTGACATTTTATTCTGTCGACTACATTAATGACATTCTTTGATCTAATCGGCATTGATAAAAAAAGATTTTATTATATACAACTGTTATATTGTTCCATCTGTTAGATTGCCACAATTAGCCGCTTGAATATAAAAGAATAATCTCTTTTTTTTTCTTTACAACGATTTGAGGCATCAAAGTCAATTAAACGTCTCGTTAATAAATTAAATTTAACACAAGAGCTTTTTTGAATTGTAAATTTTATTCTTTGCTATTCACTGCACAAATTGATATGTTTTCAAAATTCGATTGATGTATTTTGAAGGACTATGTTTATGAGAAGAAGTCGAAGTCAACCTTGACTCCGAATTTTCCTCATTTTTATAACATCCTGAGAAGATCCGAATGGAGCCTACAAAATAAATTAGTTCGTACAATAAATATCAAAGAGTAAACCTCACCATTTAAAAAAACCTGTAGTGTTCAACCTAATTAATTATTGGGGAATTGAGAGAGCTCCAACTGCTTTTAAAAATGACTCCGATGCAGGTCTCTTATAACTGTCCATCAAAACCGCACAAAATAATCTTTGTCTCTCATCGATGGACAAGCAAAGCTTTACGAGATAGAGTCTCAGTTTTTTTTTCACACAATTTTTCTATTTGTATCTATACTTTAATAAGTATTACACAAGATTTCAAGTATCATGTTTTCAATCTATTCTTTTGGGTATGAATATTTTTGACCACCAAAAAAAGATATAATTGATCACCAAATTTTTTTATTGCGAAATGATCACCAAAAAAAATGATACATTTGATCATCAAATTGTTTTATTGCAAAATGATCACCAAAAAAAAAGATACAAATGATCACCAAATTTATAATGGATAAATAGATAATATATGACTAACAATCATACACTCTAATGAAAATACTCCACACAAAACTGACGCAAAAAAAACAGATAATGGTAATAAGAAATCATGGTAATAATGCCATGCGAACTTTTTTTTTCATAGCCTGGAGTTTTTCGTTTTCCCAATGGTATAAGGCGAGTTTCATCTTTAATTTTGTAAATGTTGAGCATAATAGCTAGTCCAATAGAATGTTTGCATCTATATTCCTTGCGTTCAATTGGACGTGTACATTAATTGAACTTTGTGGATGACTTATAATTAATGATTTTTTAATTTGAGCTTCTGTTAATCCACATTTGATATGATTAGATACGCATTGACGTATTGGTGATGATAATCTTGTTGTTGGAATTCGTTCATTTTCTTCATGTTTATGTGTGCTTCTTGACATAATGGTTACCGATTGGATGTTGTTGTCCGCCACAATAATTTTAATTTCAAATGAACATAATGGATACTTTATCTGTATGTGCTGCATTCAAATGAGTATTTGGTTTCGCTTTTTAAATCTAATCGTTGATATTGACAAACATAATATTTTGTTGTTGCAAAGTCTTTTGCTGCTTCATACGATTTAGCGATGTGTAACAATGCCCATTCTTTACTAGATATTTTTAGTATGTTATTGTTCCTTATGACGAGACACTTTAAAAATGTTTTTAGTTAATTGGATCATTCAGACCGGATAAGATTATCTCTTTTTTATTTAAGCTTGTTTAATTGATCAATCAACGTTTACGATAAGTATATGATCTGTCATAAGTCTATTATCCATAACTCATAACAGTAACTCGCTATCGATCACTACATGCTAATTAGTTTGATGATCAATTGTATCTTTTTTTTGGTAATCATTTTGCAATAAAAAATTTTGGTGATCATTTGTATCTTTTTTTGGTAATCATTTCGCAACAAAAAAATTTGGTGATGAATTATATCTTTTTTTGATGATCAAAAGTATATTTTCTCATTCTTTTCTACATCAAATCAACAAACATACAACGAAAAAAAGACTAGATTTTTGTCTTTATCAAATACATTTGCAATTGAAACACAAAATCATAAACTTAAGAATCAATGTCAAACAAACAAAAAATTTGATTAATGATGATAAAAAATATTATTTGTTATTGCAACATCTCGCATAAGCTTGACTTGTATGGCAACATCTTTTAATACATTTAAGACTTTTCTATTACCATGAACAAAACCATATACATGATAAGTGAGACCAACTTCATCAGCAAATTGTTGAACAAAATAACTTGCTGATCTTAATTTATGTCTTGGCATACGTGGAAATAAATGATGAACAGCTTGATATTGTAAACCACCATGGAAAAAATCTAACCATACTGGACATGCTATATCCATTGTTGTACGAAGCATTTTAGCTGGAAATGATTCACATGGTCCATAATCTTCTGTTGACATACCAAAATGTGATAATGTTATTTGAACATGTAATGGCATTGTTACCATATAACATAAAAACAAATAAATAAAACATTGTGTATAAGTTGGAATCAATGATAATAAAAATATAAACCAAAACCAATAGATTACTATTGATAAAATTTCAATATAACGATATGGTGCATTTGTATATTTATAAAGATAAATATATGATTGTATTTGTAAATTAAAACGAGCAAAACACATTATTAAATAATAAGTTAAATGTTGAAATTGAATAATACATGATGCAAGCCATGTATAGGAAAGAATACGTTTATGATATGTTGAATAAATTGATTGAAAAAAACGTGTTGTTACAGCAAAAAATGGT